CAATTTTAAAGAAAAGTTCTATCCAAACTTTTACAGACGTGGTCACCAAACGTTCTGGTGCAGCGTCTAAATAAGGTTTCGGTCTGACACCGAAACTGATTGGGTGCACTGGTAAAAGGAACAATCCAAACTCAGTTTTGTTGTCTGGCCGGAAATTTTCTCTTCGTCTGCGTAACAATAAAAGTGTTAAAAACACTCTTATTTTTGGCTTGTAACCTGACGAACATTTTCCCGTAAATATAGGAATATTTTTCACTGCTCACGCGCTTCACGCGTGGTTGTCTTTGTTGTCGTGAATTTATTCGAACAAACTTTGTCTCCCCTCCCTCTTCGCTGCTGCCGCTCCGCGAGGCTCGCCGCCGCCAAGTTTTCGTGCAAGCACACGCATGTCGTGTGCCGGTCGGTAAATTCGGTTTTGCGAAGCGCGAGAAGAAAATTGCTCTCCGCGAATGAAGATAAGGGGAAGGGTTGCACATGAGGGGGCGCGGGAGAACGAGAGTGGGAGAGAGTGGGAGAGGGGGAAAGGGGGGGGGGGGCACTTGACTCGGCCGGGTCGCGGCGACGGGCGAGTTAATGAGAAACATGGTGATGACGGTGTGCTGCCGCGTGCAGGGCGACCCGCGCGCGCGGCGCACCTCGCTCACGGCCTCCACGTCCTGGTGGACGGGACGCTTCGGCAGTCGACAATGGCGCGCCCGAGGGGGTTCTCCACTATAAATTCAAGCGTGCATCAATTTTTCTCGTTTGTCTAGATATTTTTCTGATTTTATTGTCGAATTTCCCTTGATTTTTTGACGGTGTGCACTGATTTTTGAGTGAAGTAACCCTAGACCGCGCACTGGAAACGCAATTATGTGAATGTCGCACACCTGTTCTTTGTGTAGGACACCGCGTGTGCGACAGCTACAAATGGCTTTTAGCTCTCGGACACTTATAACTGTTGAACACAAATGGTATCACAGTTTAGACTGCAACACAATTCGACACCTGAAACCTACAAGCACGGAGTTCGTGGAGTCTTCGTATAAACCCGTAGTTCCAGGGAGCTCCGTATAGACACGCAGTTCAGCGGGTCTCCGTATAACGTCGTAAGTGCTTGAAAGTCACTTCTGAGATATAGCGCTTCAAAGTTTTGGATTAACATTGCGCCTTATGGGCTGCTGGATTTTCAGACCAGAATAACTTTTGAACTAATTGACATATCGAAATGCGGTTTTCGCTGATCGATAGCCCTTGGTTTCCTCTATCCGACGCACTTCATAACTCGAAATTTTCAAAAAACATAGTTACGACGCTATACGGCGGCCTGCTGAACTCCGTGTTTGTACCGAGCCCCCGGGAACTGCGTGTTTATACGGAGCCGCCACGAACTCCGTGTGTATAGGTTTTAAGTGTCGAATTGCTATGACAGTTTAAACTGTCATACTGTACGACACTTGAGTTTCCACAGTGGTTCTGTGGGGCCGCCCATAGAACAAGAAGAGCAACAATACACGGAGAAGTCGCCGCCGTCATCCCTTTTACTCACCGACGCATCTGTTGTAGTTGAGCGTGCTGAATATCCTGTCACAGCGCCGCTTCATGTGGTTATTTGGGCAGATGCAGCCGAAGATGGGCGTCTTTCTCATCTGTTTCCAAGACTGGAAACAGCGCTCTCTGCAACAGGACCAATGGCTGTCATTAGAAAAAATAACTAAATTGTGTAAACGTAGATTTATGAAATCGGAAGGGTCAGGGTCTGAAATATATCTACTCTCGACTATGCGCATTCAGTCCAAAAAACCCACGTTTTGTCGCGAGAAATGCGTATTCACGAACAAGCCCCAGTGTGCCGTTGTCGTCCGCACACACGCGCACGTGCAGACACACACCTGCGCCGGTCCGGGGCCTGTCACTGCTCAACAGCAGCCTCGCCAGGCTATAAGCGTGACTGACTATCCCCCGGCCCAAACATATCGGCGCAGAGCTCTCACACACCGCATGCCCCCCCCCCCCACCCCCCTCGGTCCCCCCTGGGTACAGTCCGGACCCGAACGGGCTGTGCGCGGCGTGTCGCAGTAACACTGGAGCCCACTTATTCGGAATGGTGTGCCGGCCGGGCGGCGCCGGGGGGGCGGACACATTCCGGCCTCTCCCCCCCCCCCAATTCCCCGCTCACGCCTCACCACTACCACTGGATTCCCCTCGTTCGGGACAAATAGTGTCGCCTCGCTCTCGATAAGGAGAGACGTTTCAAGGGGAAGGAAAGAGAGAGTGAAGGGAGGCAGAGAGACAGACAGACATGGAGAGAGGGAGAGAGAGGGAGAGAGAGAGAGAGTCATCGCATAACTTCGACAACGAGTTCCCATGGCGAGTAGAGGAGAGAAAGAAAAGAGAGCAGGCGGCATAGTCATGAACGCGAAGTCCTTCTGAGTTTTGCATCCAACAATGTGCTTGTGCAAGAATTCCTTTTTAACAGTGGCTTCAATATGCTCGCTGATTTAACTACCGAGCCGAGTGCTCGGCTCAATGTTGGATTTTTGTCGTTGCGTCAGTGCTAATTACGGCTAATAGAACCTACCAACATAATTGAAAGGTCTATGTTCAATTGAAAAGTCTATGTTTAATTGAAAGGTCTATGTTTAATTGAAAGGTCTATGTTTAATTGAAAGGTCTATGTTTAATTGAAAGGTCTATGTACAACTTAATTCAGTTATCTGATTCGAAAATACGACAGAAATTCGTCTAAATCAGAAGGAAGTTACATTCAATTTGCGAGTCCTTATACTTTGATACTACTAGATCGTGCAAGTATACTAACCTGCTGTCCATGCGGCACTTCTTGTCCCGCACTTTGCAGTCCGCTTTGAACTGGTCGAACAGGGCGATGCACTTGGGCTCCGAGTTACACACGGCCAGGGCGTGGTTGCAGGTGGTGAGCGCTTCCACGGGGTAGAGGTCCAGCTCTGCGGCACAAGACGAAACACTTCAACACCACCGACTCCAAACAGATCCTGCCCGTCTCCCCAACTGTCTGTCTGTCCGCTGGCCTCTAGCTGCTCCCTCGGTTCCCACTCTTGTTTCAAGACTTCCTCGAGCCAACTCGGCTAGCAAAGACACCAATTTGGCAGCGTTCCCAATAGGAACCACCGCAGAGCCTGTTAGTAGCGCTGCACGGGAACGGCGGGTGCCCCTGCTCCCCTCTCCCGGACTAAAACTCCTCCAAAAGCAGCACCTCAGACAACGCGTAGAAATGGTTCAGATTTCTAATTTTTAGACCCTACTTCCGCACTGGTTTCAATCCGACTTTTAAAAACAAATTGTTCAAATAACAGACACAGCAATATCAGTTTGTTCTGAACAGATTCAACAGCAGGAGAGGGGGGCTAACTCTGAATGCAGTGGCGGACGCCGGGTCCCAGCCAGGGAGCGCCCGGCAGAGCACCAGCGCTGCAAGTCATTATTCATTAGCACCCCATTATGAAACCTTCGCAGGATATTGTTGGGGGTTAACCATATTGCGTCACCGACCAGAGCCGGCTGTTGACTCTGCAGCTGCTATGGGCTCTGCCGCATCGGGGCTCCCTCAGTCACTGAAGAATTCCAACAAAATAACGCCTTGCAAACAGCAAAAGGATTCAACGGTTTTGTAGACCACATACTACATAGGACGTAAAGTTCAAGTACAGGTCGAAACTTTTCTTCTAGTATATCTCTTGTAGTCAGGGATTGACAACATTCAAAGGCTTTTGTAGGGAATTAAAGGGCATGAAAGGGAATTAACCCACTGTTGTCTCTGCCGTTGGGCTATTGGATTCTCCATCTCCGTTTGCTCTACCATTAGAAAGCATAACACCGCACCGTAACGAGTAAACGAGTACTTTGTGCGTCCACATTTCGTTTAACAAAGTTCATATTCTTTTACCTTGACACGGAAAAATAAAAAGAAGTGCGACGAAAATGTTGGGGGAAACCGGGTCAGGCGGTGCCGGGCGGGGAATGAGTTATGCAATGGTAAGTAGGCCAACGTCGAGAGGGGAGAGGGAGAAAAAGAGAAAGTGACGGGATACGTTTGCGACCGCATCCAAACGAAAGAGAAAGAGAGGGAGAGTGAGAGAGGGTGTCTGACCGAACGGCAGTAAGGAGGTAATAAGGGAGGAGGTGAGAACTGTACGACACTTGAGTTTCCACAGTGGTTCTGTGGGGCCGCCCATAGAACAAGAAGAGCAACAATACACGGAGAAGTCGCCGCCGTCAGCCGTCGTCCCTTATACTCACCGACGCATCTGTTGTAGTTGAGCGTGCTGAATATCCTGTCACAGCGCCGCTTCATGTGGTTATTTGGGCAGATGCAGCCGAAGATGGGCGTCTTTCTCATCTGTTTCCAAGACTGGAAACAGCGCTCTCTGCAACAGGACCAATGGCTGTCATTAGAAAAAATAACTAAATTGTGTAAACGTAGATTTATGAAATCGGAAGGGTCAGGGTCTGAAATATATCTACTCTCGACTATGCGCATTCAGTCCAAAAAACCCACGTTTTGTCGCGAGAAATGCGTATTCACGAACAAGCCCCAGTGTGCCGTTGTCGTCCGCACACACGCGCACGTGCAGACACACACCTGCGCCGGTCCGGGGCCTGTCACTGCTCAACAGCAGCCTCGCCAGGCTATAAGCGT